ACTTTCTAATGCGTGCCACTATTTGTACTCTAAATTCTGGACAGGTGCGAATTTGAATGCATTTCATGCGTTAGGGGCCAAAAAAATCATCATACGGAGGTGTTTCCGCAGCCACACCGAGGGAAATGAATGTGCAGTTGAGCTGGTTCGACTTTACTTCTTATTAATTATTTGTTAAAATTGGAAAGTGATGAGAAAATTGCTATTGAAGGAAATAACATGCATTTTTCCCAGGACTGCGTAGTCGTGCATTAGAAAGAGCTGCCGCTGGTTGTCTGGAATCTCTTTTGGTGGCTCCTGGTACTGTGGAGAAAATGCGGTATTGAGCCACTGATCGAAAACCTGTGAAAGAAAGCCTAATGCAGTTGGTGCCACTGTAGTATTTATGAAGTTTCATGTATAAAAATGCCCTAAAAGTACCTTATGTCTAAAAAGAAATATTTTAAAATAAAATATTGCATTTCTTCGGGAAGAACTGGAAAATACAGATGAGCAGGACAGTTGGGTGTCCTTGCCGATAATCGGTGGGCAAGGCGAAATAATTGATGGTACCACGAAAAAGTAAACGAGTGCTGGGGCAGCTTCAAAAAAGGTGGCTCACTTACTTCGAGCAGACAGAGAGAAATTATTGGCAATACGTAGCTCATGTTTCAAAGACTTGACGAAGGTGTTCGAAGGGCTTGACGTTGCTATCTACCACTACTGTCATAATGACGAGGTCCAGTTATGGTATTGTTACGGAACGTATGATGGACTTAATGGACTGAAACTTTCTAGTGCGGATTTCCCTTATCTTATAATTACTTATTTCTGCCTTTACTTCATTTCACTGTAGACAGTTATACAGTTCATCATGTTTTTTATTATTATCTTTGCTGCTACTTATTACTACTTTTATTATGGCCTGTGAATTATCTTAAACTGCCCTAATGTATAGGAGCATACCAATAACATCACGAACATAAAGATACCCGGACTGATTGCTTCAGTGGTATTGGTATTCCTGGCATATTTGCTCAGTTTTTTTAAAATTATATCAAACGCTTTGGTTATGCCCTATTTCTAATAGTTTTCTCACCTCTTTTAGTATCTTCTCGTCTTTTTTTAGTAGGCCGCGTTAATTTGTATTATATGCCGTGTTTATCCGCAAAGCGATCTAGGAATTTCTTCGGGAGGGGAGAAGAAAGAAAAATGTGCCAGCCTTTTTTTTCGAACAGAGCACAGTTTTTGACAAAAAAGATATACAATTATTTTCGTTTAGAAAAACATACATAATAGTTTCTTAGTGTTAGTAAAAAAGGCAAGGAAAATTTTTTGTTTCAGTTTGTTTTTCCAGTTATCTTACTTCTGCCGAAAAATTAAGAAATGCTTTCTCTCTCGGAATCTGATTAATCTCCAAAGTGATAAAGCGAGCACATGCACTTTGAGAAGCGGACATGAGTTAACAAGAAATTGCTCTGGGCTGAATGACTAGGAACAAAAAACCTTCTGCATGCTAATCTTAGCATCAACGGAATTCCACTCAAAATATGGAGCTTCCCAGGTGATTTATTTAAAAATACTGATGTCATAGCGATTAACAAGAAAGCCTGATTAAGAGGTTATTTCCATGTCTAATACAGTGGTCAAGTGTATTAGCCATGGAAATAACCTCTTGATCAGGCTTTCTTGTTCAGGTCTTTGACACTTTGTTCAGTTGCATTTCCTAACCTGGTCTTACAGCTTTGAAGTTGACAATCTTTCCAAATATATTGACCAATGGTGCACCGCCTGATGGCGAGTCTGCTGCTAACTCTGACGCTCGCATCAGTTCCGAAGAGGTTACCAGTTCAAAAAGTTGACTGTCATAAAAAAAACCAGACTGAGACGCATCAGGCTTGCCGGTGACAATATATGTTGTTGCTTGCTGTAGCAGCGCATAAAAAAGGAATATGATTCCTGTTTTGGGTGCAACATTAATTTTTTAGTGCCGGAATTGCAAAATCTGACTCTTTTCTCTTTACTATGCTGCTAAACTATAACAATTCTAAGGTTAGCAAGACCGTCTGGGCTATCACTGTGTGTATTTCATGTTAGTACTGCTGCTAAAATGCTCCCATGCGCTAGGCACGGCTATACCAAGCCCTCCAAAAACTTCATCTGGCATCCACCGGCTGTTCGATGTACTTGCGCCACCTGTTGAGGGCTAGCCCGAGTGACCACTCACTAAAGCGCAAGTAATGAACAAAAATAAAAGCACTTTTTCTTTGTAAATTTTGTACATATTAAGGTGCTGTTTTTCGAGTAGTATTTAATTACTTCTGAGCAGGATGGCTGCACAATTCGCCGTAGTGTAGGAAACGGTTCAGCTGCTCGCTGGATCAAGAATCCATGAGGTCGGTAAACGATTTCTTCTACTTTCTGCCAAAACGGAGTTACACTTTGATAAGTGGGGTTCGGCGCTAAAGTAACGAGGGGTATTAAGTCAGATATGTAGGAGGGATGTGAATTCCAGCGCCAACCAGTGAACACGATCACGAATAGAACGATAGACAAAACTGTGCACAGTCTAGTTTTCCGCGGCAGCATCCTAAAAATAACATCTTTTACTTTCTGCAAAAAATGTGACAACGTCCAGAAGAAATTTTCCGGGTGCTGTATTTGTCGGAAAGCTTCTGCTGCAGCTAAAATTCTCAAGATTACTAGGGCCTTTCACAGCATGGTGACAAAAACAATGCCAAAATCTCACGTTCCTTGATGATTTCAAGAGTTTCAAGACCTCAAGTATCATAAATGATAACAAGAATAATACGATATCATGACGCGTCATACTACGATATCATGACTGCAATGAATTCTCAAGTCTACTAAAATAACACCGAGTACGTGAATTCCTCATATACCACGACAATACCATGAGTATTAAGACCCAAAATGCCAAGAAGATACCAAGGAGGTCAGACGTTCACCTGCTTAATGATATCAGGAATGCTGGAACCTCCGCACCCCAAAACTTCAATTCCACGATGATATGCTCGGGTCGGAATTTTGTTTGAGACGCATAACAGGGCAGGAAAAAAATCAAAAATCTGAAGAAAGGGTGGATTGAAGGAAGATTCCAGTTAAACTGCCTTTATTTTATATGCGTTACTCTACAAACTGGCTGAAAATTTGACTGAAAATTTGCACCGTTGTGGACTGGGCAGGCGCTCCGATAAGGATCTTGATTAAATCTAACTTACACCGAAATGGATTTAGATTACATCTGCGACAGTCGGTTTGCCTAAATATTTATAAATCTGGACAATTGGATTCTCCGATTCGGATAACATATGACAATAATTTGCGTTACTGAGATTTATTTTAACAAAATGTGGAATATTCAAAGAGCTTGACGAAGGAGCAAAAGTTTCTTCCTTATTAGATCTCAGATTTTTTTAAAATCGAAATTAGCAAAACTGCTCAACCAATCGATGTGGGAGTCCGTTTTTACTGATTGCTAAAGTCAAAGTCGAAAGCCCTTTCCGTACTTGCTCTCTTGGAGAGGCAAACGAATTTGGTAATTAGCCAAAGTGGTAGCGAGTCATGGTGTCTAAAAATTCGATGAATTTGCAAAATCCAGTCTATCTTTCACTGTCCAGAAAACTTATCAGAGCAATGCACGACCACGCACTTCGTCCCACGTTTACGTCTACTTCAGCTAACCTAAAAAGTTCGATATCTCTAGTTTAGATGGGAGAACAGTATCCTCCGCTTCTCTTCCTCCTCTCACATATCTGCCACTTCTTTTCGCTCCATGCCCTCTGTAAGGAGCAATTGTTTTTGACTCAACACTTCGGGATAACAGAATTGGGTCGATGTACTGATTCGCTGGCTTAAAGCTCACGTGCGAGCACGTGAAAGTTTTGTCGGGATTAATTACTAACACAGCAACCAGAAGAGCTGGAAGGCTAAAGTTTCTCATAGATCCTTTAAATATAAATCCAGTCTATCCACCGAATTATTACCCGGCTACTAATAATAAATCTCCGCTAGCTGGCAGTTTTGAGCCGTACTATTATCCCTGTGGTGGCAGATAGAATCAGTACTGTGTTGGTGGGTGGAATCTGTACAGTGGCAGGGGATTGAGTTCATATAACTACAGCTGGGGTCCAGCTTAAGGTTAAAGTATGAGGTGGGTAATGAAATTACGAAAGCTGACTTTTCCGAAGAAGTTTTTAGACCACTATTTTAAAGTTTCAGAGATTTTTTGGTGGTTATTTTTTGCACAGTACTTGAAAAGATCCGGATTCTGCTGGGAATTTAGAACTTCCATGCCAATTCGCACATGTTTTCAGGAAGATATGTGTCAGGAGATTCCTCATTAGCGGAAACGATTTTTTTTTCAGATCATGTTAATGCTTAACATTCAAATGCTGATCTGTATTTCATCTGTTAAGCAGTATTTTTGTGAATACACTATTTTTGTTACAAAATCAGCAGTGTTTTATTTTCATCATTTCTTTTTGAACAAAAAACGTAACGTAACGAATCTGTGTTTGAAAGTGAGCATGTGTAGCGCTAGATTATCATGATTGTTCGTGATCAGTGCTCCAGTTTTGGCATCTTGACGCCCTGAGAGCGGAAGACATATGCTTACAAAGAAAGAAAATCAAGGACAGAAAGATGAGTGGAACTCATCACAGTATAGCGTTAGTGATCCGAAGTGCAAAAACGCGAAGCACAGCAAGAGATATGGAAAAATTCAGGGAATACAGCATGCAAAAAAATGAGGTAAAAACGTACGAGAGGTAGGATGTGATTGTGAAAAATGAGGAATATTATAACACGTAGGAAGTGATTCAAATAAATTAGGAAGCACTATTTTAAAACTACAAAAATAGCAAATTGAAACGTATGCGACCAGCTCTTCTGTTACGGCTTTTTGAGAACAAACAAATATTGCCATCCCATCTTCCGCCGTGACGCATCAAGTGGCAAATCGTTTACAGTGACCGAATCCAACACGCTGAACACTTCTATTAATTCAAATCCTGAAAATAATTGAGACTTTGTCTCATAGCTAAATCCGATTGCTTGGAGGAAAAAAGAGAGATGAAATCAGTGGAAATTTTTGGAAAAAGTGATATGGCAATTAATAATCATTTCTAGCTGTTTTTAATAATCTGGAAAAATTCATGACCCTGAAGATAAATCCCTTCCTGCTCTTTTTTATCACATATAGCGTTTTTATGAATCTCTGCACTTACTGCCTACACTTATTTAACCTTAGTCTGTTCTGCACCGCCGGTGCTTACTACGGCTTCAAAAAATTATTATTTAATAATAGAAAAGGGCCGAAGCTTTCTGTAGAGAGAAACTTTTGGTAGGTAATCCTTTCATGAGAATATCCATCAGCTTGGTCGCCAGGCGTTGCAACATCGATCAAAGCAACTGGAGAAATTACAGTGCTTGGGATGAACAAATCATAGCTGTTTAAAGTCCCTTTATGATTCGTTCATTCGTTACTAAATATATTTGGAAAATAAACCCGTCGTCAGTTCCTGCGTAGGCAGCTCCCGAAAAGGGAGCCATCAACGGCTTTGTTAACAAGTGGTTGCTATTTTGGCATTTGCTGCCATTCGAGCTACTCAACTTTTGTTCCCGCCTTTCATGCCGAGTGAACTTTGACTGATTGGCGTTCTGCGCAATTTTAACATTCTTTCATTGCAAATTTATTGAAAGGCTTTCGAACTAACATTCAAATAACCAGTTCCATTACGATTAGTTGATTCTTTCGGATGGCACCCAGTATCGGGCTGCTTGGCTCATCAAAGTCAAAAGGCTTCAACCTTATTTTTGAGGCAGCTCTCGAAACAATGAATTAGTTGCTAATTAAATTCTTATAGGTTTTCAAATGCGGACCGTTTTACCGGGATTATGGCAATAGTAACTGCTTCCCTCTGTCGTTTTCCTTCCCTCTCCCTGGAACTTCACCTCGTTCCACGTAGTACCATCCCTCTTTCTTCCTCCCTTCAAATCTGTTCTTCACCCTCCGCTGACAGTACCGATGAGGCAAGTATTCACACAGAAAAGGGAAGAGTTCAGACCTTCAAGCACCATTGGTAATCGTATTCTGCCATAGAAGCGATGCGCATTGAAGAAAACTTTATCGACACCGATCGGTAATCCGAGAAACAGCAGAGCATTTTTCTTCATCAGGCACCTCATTTTTTGCATCTCACGTAAATCGCCGAGCGGATCTACAAAAAAAAAACAAACAAATTTCAGCTCTTTTGCAGTAAATTTTACCTTACTGGCCCGCAACTATGTTAGGCCCTTCGATTCTGAGCTGCATACCTCTCACCGCACATGCTCACTTTTTTTAATTCCGGCCAAGTAATCGTTTCGTTTACTTTATTGAGGGTACACTCATTCACTGCAGGGCATCCACCGGCTATGGTTGCACTTTTTGAACCTTTGAAAAACAAAACTTGACAAATACTCATTGATTTTTTGAAGCATCCCAGCTACCGTAGACAACCAGTCTAATACAGTTCACTGATTCATTTCGATGGCAAATCGATACTAGCGCCAGGAAATTGAAAAGCCGCTTTTGTCAATGTCACTTTTTTTCTCTTCAGTGCTAAAATTTCCATTTGTTCTTGCTCAGAAACAATAAAGCAAAAATCATCGTTATTTCACCAACCTAATGGATCGCCAAATCTTCCCAGACCGCTGTGCTCGATGCTTGAAAATGAAACAACAAAATCGAATGTTTCTTGATAACTGCAAAAAAGATATTACAGCGAAATGACCAATTCAATTTAATTAGATGAAGTTAATTTAATTTTGGTAATTGTTTTATTTTGGTCGTCGAAACAGAAAGATAGGATAGCAGCAGGCTGATCACCAGACACTGGTCGAAGAGCTGCCGATTTGTGACGTGAATGACAGCTGGGTAAAGTATCAAAAATATCGAACGATACCCGCATGGTGCAAAAACTATCAGTTAGACGGGATGTCTTCACCCCGCCATGTGAGATGAGTAAGTGAATTTATATAAAACTAACAAGCTCAGGATTAGTGGAAGTAACAACTTCGTTAGATCTTTGAAAGATCGACTCAGTCCAGTCAGACCACTTTTGACTGTTGTCTTCGGTCCCAGTTTGGTTACTCCCGAGTACCTCAGCCTCTCACACAGAATAATCCATTCCTGTGATTATTCGCTGGGATAAAGATAAGGTACCGTCCTCAATTCCAGCTGAGATAAGTATGATCTCATAACTGTTAAAATGGAACCTATGTTCAATATTTCCAAAACTGAAAACAGTAAAGCACACATAAAACGTACGTCTGCCAATTTTTTGCAAACTTCTTTGCATGAACAAACGTAATCTGAGGATGATCACATGTAATTTCTCGATAATCGACCGTTATCAGCTAAAAACGAAACGCAATTCTCGAAAAAGGAAGAAATAGTTTTAAATTTGATAAAAGTTTTGTGTCTCCAAGTTCAGTACAAAATTGTTCCGGACACGATCAGCTTCATCTCCTTAGACTATTTGTTTTAAAATTCTGATCAGCTCTTGTCGCAGTTGATGCAGCTCACAACTTCTCATTCCCTATTCTCTCTCATTCTTGCCACATGACTAGTCCAGCTATCTTGATTTTTGCCACATGACTAGTCCATTTTACCCTAAGTACCTTGATAATACTATTTACGTCAAACCGAGACCGCAGCAGTTCTCTGAATGGGTGCTGCAACTTCTTAACGCACCGTCCTGCGAAATATTCAAGAAAAGGAATGTTGCCTCGCTTCCAGAAGGAGATATAGACAAAGGTGGACAATCTGGGTTCTTGTGGAGTCGACAGATGACCCAAAAATGAAATCTGCAGCAGCACAAAATGGTAAATGCTTGACTTCAGCTTTAATCCTGCTTCCTGGATTATATCATACCTATTTCGAGGTATTTCAAAAGTTACTTCTACGACTCCAATGCTTTTCTCTTCAAAATCTAGCTAGCAAACTTCTCAGTAACGAATTTCCGAGTTATGCTTCTAGATTGTCTAGGATTCAGCTTTCTTCACGTCGATATCACGGTTCGTAACACAACAGTACATCTAGCAGAAACAAGCATTACATTTTTTGCTCCATGCCTTATACAAGCAGCTTCGACCCATGGGCTTAGGG